GATCTCCGAGGACAATATCATTCTTGGCCCTCGTACCCGCAAATACGCCAAACCAGACACAGTTCTACTTGCTACTGATCCCATCGCGAGTGATCCGCTCACCGTTGCGGAAGCCGAATCCCGTTCGAACTGGCTTGAATGGAAGAAAGCCATGAACGAAGAAATGGACCAACTCCGAGCCCTCGGCACCTATATTCTTGCTCCTCTTCCCAAGGATCGCACCGCTGTCGCCTGCAAATGGGTTTTCCGCACCAAACGCGATGAACACGGCACCATCGTTCGGTACAAAGCCCGCCTTGTTGCAAAGGGATTTTCTCAAGTCCCCGGCATTGATTTTGACGAAACTTTCGCACCCGTTGTACGCATGGAGACTATCCGCCTTCTCCTCGCTCTTGCCGCTCGCTACAACCTCGACATTCACGTCGTTGACGTTATAGGCGCTTACCTCAACGGGAAACTAGAAGAAGAAATTTATATGCAACAACCTGAAGGTTTTCACGACGGCACCACACACGTCTTCCGCCTACTCAAGGCTCTCTACGGACTCAAACAGTCCGGCCGCGTCTGGAATCTTGAGCTCAACAAAGCCTTCATCCTCAAAGGCTATGTTCGACTTCTTTCGGACCAATGCATCTACATCAAACGCGACGGCAATAATATTACCATTGTTGCTGTACATGTTGATGACATGACTGTACTCGCATCCACCCCCGCGCTCATGGAATCCGCTGAAAACGAGATTGCATCCATGTTTTCCGTCAAGAAACTCGTTCAGATCCGCCAACTTCTCGGCATGGAAATTACGCGCGACGCGTCCGGTTCAATTTCTCTTACCCAGACGCAGTACATCACAAAAATTCTCGAACGCTTCCAGATGGATCAGGCAAATCCCGTTGCTACTCCAATGGATCCGCACGTCAAGCTTGTTAAGCTTCCTGACGGCGAACATCATCCCTTACCAACACATGGTCGGTTCACTTATGTATGCCGCTATTTCCACTCGCCCCGACATCAGCTACGCCGTCCAGACCCTCTCCCAGTTCAACCTGAACCCTGGACCCGTTCATCTTACCGCTGTGAAGCGCGTCTTTCGCTACCTACGCGGAACCATTGATCTCGGCATTAAATATTCGCCCAATATGTCCGTCAACATCGAGCTCTTCTCCGACGCCGACTGGGCCAACTCGCCAGACGACCGCCGCTCTGTAACTGGCTACCTCTCCTCGCTTTCAGGGGGAGCCGTTACTTGGAACTCCAAGAAACAGCCCACAACTGCTCTCTCGAGCATGGAGGCTGAATATATGGCCTTAGGTTCCACAGCGCGAGAAGCCACCTGGCTTCGTTCTATCCTCACAGAACTCGACTATACCCCGACTCATCCCACTCGCATCTTCGTCGATAATCAGGGAACTATTTCCTTCGCTCAGAACTCTGGATTTCACGCTCGTTCCAAACACATCGACGTCCGTCACCACTTCATCCGGGAGAAGATTACTTCAAACGAAGTATCAGTTTCCTACTGCCCAACTGCTGAAAACGTCGCCGACTTGTTCACAAAACCTCTCGACAAAGGCAAGCACGAATACCTTGTTTCTCAACTCGGTATGGTTCGTACTTGAGGGGGAGTGTTGAAATTCCTTAGCTATGCATCCACCTGAATATCCGCAGTTATATTTCATATCTTACTCATTGCCTATCCAACGAGTACACGTTGTCTAGATACAATGTGCTCTGCACATTCATGTGTTATTCTCCCTTAGATACATTTCATATTCCGAACAGTATTTAAGCTACCTACAGCAAGCCTGTACTTTAGTACTTTGAATCCACTCTTTCACCCCCATTCTCACATTAAGTAGAATGAACGATTCTTCAAAATCCTGGATCGCCACGGAAGAGTTGGTTGCCCTGGGAGTCAATCCGCGCATCAGACGCAGACACTGCACCGCCTCGCCGTGCCGTCTGTCGTCGACGTCCCCTTTCAGGTCGAACAGCATCAATGGCCATGGGCGAAGGAGTGTAAGGATGCTGCCCCAACCTTACTACATTCTGACACACACATACCGAATCCACACATCACTATTACGATACCGCACATCTATGATTCCGTTACATTACTGTTCTTCCATCACACAGGACCTGAGATCTGCTGTTCTTTCTGTGCCTCCGAGCTTAACTACTTCTGGATGCCTTCCAGGATATTCCCATCTGGAACCCTCACTGTTGCACTTTGGCTTGTACAGCTTATCACCGAAGCTCCAGATGTGAACCATTACCCTTTTCTCAGTCACCGCTCTTTCCTATGATCATTTTCTATCCGATATTCCGCCATGATCATTCCTCCCTTCCGATCCTCTGCATTACCGGCATGATCAAACCTTTATCTCTATACGATGATGGCAACATCAGCATAGTCCCTGTCTCTGGCCTAGCGAACCATTGACCTCCTCCTCTACCGCCTCCCAGTTCTGATGATGGCAACATCGGTTCTGTCCCCGTCTTTAGATTGGCATCCCATTGACACTCTTTTATTGTCCTCCTCAGAGCCGGATCACCGCTGTGCTCTTCCCTTCTCCTCACCGTCCCTTTCGGAGGCAGATCACTGCTGTACTCCATCTTCCTCACCGACCTCCGTGGTTTCCAGACACACTGTTGTTCTAGGCTTGGCCTCTTGGAGTTATATTGATCTTCCAGAATCATCCTCCTTGATACACGTCGTCTGATTCCTCCCTTCCTCTCCGCCTCTGCATACATGTGTCCCTCATATCACCTCTGTATTACACTGGGTGTATGTTTCCTTATACTGCACCACACCCCGGACTTTACTCATCCAGGTATTGTCATCCCGCCCTACTGTATCCATTTATTGTGGTACTGTCATCCCACCGGACCATACTCTCATCAGTATCGTCATCCTCTGGTCGTCCTCTATTCTCCCATAATATGACTTCCGCCACTCGACTTCATCCCATTCATGTTGTCGCCTTTGCAGTCTGAACCATCACTGTCCATTGCTGCCTTCACTGCATCACCGTCCAGTCTCTCCTTCGGGATTGACTCTATTCCTTGTTCGCTGCACTGTCACCTGCCGCTCACATTGTATTGATACCACTGCTTCCTCAGCCTTGGTTTAGCACACCATTGCCTCAGTCCTCATTGCTCCTTGCGATCCTGCATTGTATCTTCATCCGCAACCTCTGACTGATCATCATTGGTCCTCACATCCTTTGTCCTTTGGCTGATCCCCACTTGACTGTTGGATTCCTTATATCGTCAACTCGCCCTTATCCTCATTGACGATCTCATGCACCTTGCTTTCTTATCACTGTAGGATTGACTCCTTATCTTATATCGTCGTTGCGGGATTGATTCCTTATCTTACATTATCATTATATCAGACTGTGATCTGTTCTGTTACATATTTGATCGTATATTGATTGTGACTGTAGATTAGTTACATATCTTCTCTTCTTGGTCTTGACCACCATGTACTCTTTCTCTAGTGGCCTCTCTTGAATGACCACACTATTGTTCTGTCATTCTTGGCTTCTCTGAGCTCTGTCTGGTTGATTCCCCTAGTGTTGACTGCCTCCACAATACGGCAGCCTTCCAAGGAGCTGATGAGCGTGGAGCGGGGAACGGGACGGCAGTGGGCATGGCCACCGAGGGGACATGAGGAGTAGAGCTGGGGCGGGGGGTAGGAATAGGGGATGCCATTACCTGCGTAGGAATAGAAGTGGTAGCAGGGTTATGGGGTAGGGAGTGAGAGGCGGGGTAAGAAGACTCCTGTGGTGCAAATCGCACCCCAGGCTTCCTTGGTCGTGTAGTGGCGCCAACTGGGCGCGGCTGAGCACTGGCCGCTGGAGGGGGTGGAACCGGAGCAGAGGCCAGAGGCGAATAGGGAGGGTGTGCGCGCTTCTTCAGCGGGCGAGCACCTTCACTCGAAACGTCCAGCAAAACCGGCGCCGGGCCAGGAGGGGGAGCGGCAAGGTCCCCAGAAAGGCGTGACGGACCTTTCTTCTTGGAGCGGATACGCTTACGCATGAACCGCTTCCCAAGCGCAATCAGCGCTTCACCGATTTGCTGGTCGGTACCACGGATAGAGACACGGCGCTCCAGGGGGGAAGCCTTATCCGTATAGGCTCGAAGCTGGGCGCCGGAGACGTCGTGCGACTGATGGAGACCTTTACCACCACGGCCAACGATATGCCCGACAACCGAGTCAGGCACCACAAGGGTGCAGGAGTAGCGGGACGGTGAGTCCTCAGCAGTAGGGAGGGTTTCGGCAAGTGGTATGGCGGTGTGGCCGACAGCGATGATAGCAGGGGTAGGGGCTGGGGTTGTAGGGGCAGAGCCCCAGCGAGCACCATCCCAGTGGGAGCGCCAGGCATGCCCCCGGGGTGTATAAGCTGCAGCGTCTCCGAACTCTAGGCGATCGAGGCGGTCATGAAGGCGCTCCAGTTCGCTTCGAAGGAGAGAGCAGTAGGAATAGAGATCTTGAGGGGCCGAGGGGGTTGCCATAGCAAGGGAGGTGTGAGGTCGATGGTAGGGTGAGGGCAGAGTAGGAGGTAGAGTGGTTGACTGGGGCTAGGAGAGTGCCAGAGTCGAATAGAAGGTTTGTTATGCTGTGAGGGGAGAAGGGCCCAGGAACCAAGTCGATAACAAACCTGGGGATCAGAGATCCCCAGCGGACTACTCTATATACAAGAGGTGACGTAAGATATGACATAAGTAGCACAGCATGATGTCTTCTGGACTGAGAACTTCTACTCAAGTCAGAAGACGTCATAGCTGTGGAGTCCCCTGACAGGCAGGGGGTTTTTCGATACTTTCTGGGCAGAATTGAAATATAATGTACATCACTTAATATTACCATAAAAGGTTATTCGGGCCGAGCCTTCTCAGTACCGCCAAACAAGAACAACACGGAATGTTCTGGCCTCTGTGCCTTCCTGTCAATGTTGAAGTCTGGGTATGTATTTGTCCCGTTCACACACTATTGGCAGAATAGCTCTTCGGGGGAATCGAACCTGCGACCTTCTCATATCATGTGAGATGCTCTGACCCGAAGGTATCCGACTGAGCTATTCTGCCAATAGTATGAACGGGACAAATACCCAGACTTCAACACTCCCCCGGACCGAAGCACTATAGTGGGCTCCGGCAACTAAAGGGCCGAAAGCGGCAGCTTTGGCTTTGTTTGGCTCGCTGGGGGCCTCGGTTCCAACTTTCCAAACCCTAAGGCTTTCTTCCACGGACATCTACTAAAATTCTGAATCAGCAGCTTTATTCAAAAGGTTCGTAAAAACAAAATGAGCATTCGGATTTATTTTTCCCTTTTCATTTTGTTAAAATGCAAGCAGTTTCATGCGAGAATCATCATTTCTTCAGATCCTGCCGTCGATTTAAAATTTTAAGCACGCTCATATTGTGGCGAGACCGATTCCCTACAATACGTTACGCGGAACCTAAGCAAAATAATCAGTTTTGGCGGAGCCTTAAGACTTTTTCGCCCCAGCCGTCCCACCTTCTGGTCACGATGTGACGCCGACTTTTTGTCCCAACATGTTGACTTTCTTACACCACACTTGCTCCAAAAATATTCTTCCATAGGAAAGTGGGGTATAACATCCGGTCTAATTGGTCTGCGTATGGTGGGGGACGTGACTTCATGTCAGACCGGAATTTTTGAAATTTTGACCTGAAACCTGGCCAGATCAACTGGAAATACCCAAGAGTGGGTGTTTTCCGAAATTTTGGACCGTGGGAACTAACTCCCCTCTGCTTCGCTTCAGCAACGAAATGTTCTAAATAATACCCGGATTTTGCCAAGCGAGTGATTTCTTGAATGAGGAACTTTGAGTTTTCGTGAATTTCGACTTGTTCCTCCCCAATGTCGAAGAAGCGTTTGTGCTCAGCGACTGGCTTATCTTGTCAAGGATTTTAACTACAAGATTGGGTGTGTATATAATTCTTGACATGCCGATTATCCACTTTGCTCACTTGCATGTACTAATCTCACACTTTGAAAGGCCTTAATCGCAAATTCAATGTCGACACTGTCAAGAAACCACCGCCGGAACATATTTCAGCCACAATCATCGGCGAAGTCATTTCTGATAATGCTTCCTCTCGCAAGGGTCCTGGAACGGTTCAGACTCAGATAGCCCGCGAACATGGAGTGAAAATTCCCCGGTATGGCGGTTGTTCCTTCTCCAGTGTACTTCTGTCAAGCTGATGATTTCTCAGCGACACCGTTCGCCGTTTGATGGCCGACTTGGATCCCGGTGGAGCAGAGATTAGATATCCGGGCCGTAAGCGTACCCCTAAGCAGCGTGGACACCTTACCGACACCGGAGTCTACTATGAAGTTCATTTTGACGGCCATGAGAAATTGAACTTCAAAGCCTTGCGCATGGGGCGAGTTGGTATAGATATCTACGGTTCTCGCTGCCATTCAAGCCGTAGAATGATCAAACTCTTGACTGTCCCTAATGCTCGATGCTCATCGACTGTCGGTCATTACTATCTTGACTCTCTTCGTCTCGCCCACCTCCGCACATCGCGCTTTCGGCGCGGCGACTGAGACTTTCCCTTGTCCAGTCCCCCTCCATGACCCTGAGTCTCGTCCCCTGCTACTAGTCTTCTCCCCCCGTCGCTGTCACCCCTCTTTTCTCGTGATTCCGTATGTAGCACCCCTGCCCCTCTCCCCTCCCCTCCCCTTGTTGCTGTCCATTCCCCTCAGTTTCTTGTGGAGCCTGTGGCGCTTCACCCTGTCTTCGCCCGCCTGTGGCTGCTTCATGGTGAGCTGTTGGTTGTGGGCTGCCTTGGCTCCCTCGCCTTTGGGCGGAGTGCAGCGAGCTTCGTTTTGAAAGTTCATGCCCAATATATCAATGGCTTGCTTACAAATCCTCTCTCGTGAAGCTCAGGCCAATCCTGGATGGTCTGGCAGACCAAGGGGATTGGCAAAAGGTGATCTCATCAGTCACATGTCTCCTCATTCTCTTCGTCTCGCCCACCTCCGCACATCGCGCTTTCGGCGCGGCGACTGAGACTTTCCCTTGTCCAGTCCCCCTCCATGACCCTAGTCTGCTCCCCCCGTCGCTGTCATCCCTCTTTTCTCGTGCCCACCCACCCACTCCTAGTTAGTTTTGCTATTTTCTGCGCACTCACGTAGCTACGGTTTTGTTCTGTATCCTGTAGTGATGTAGGGGCTGCCTTGGCTCCCTCGCCTTTGAGCGGAGTGCAGCGAGCTTCGTTTTGAAGTTCATGCCCAATATATCAATGGCTTGCTTACAAATCCTCTCTCCCGCATTTGTGAGGTACGTTGTACTCTTTTACTCAGGGCACCTTTCCGTGACTCTCAGAAGGTCGGATTTGTATTGCGAGCACGATTAGAAGTCATTCCGAAGCACTTTACGCCTAATGTTGTTCTTGTTCCATCAGATGCAAGTTCGGGGAAGACTGCTGGTATGCGCATTAAGATATGTGTCGGCTCCCCCCGGCAACACTGCTCTCTAGTTGACCTGCCCTCTTCATCAAATTGACGCAAGCAAGTCCGGGGTGGAGACAAGATATCTCTCCCACTCAGCTGTATGTATGTAATGACAACTCTGCTTATAATTACTAATTTGCGATTTTTGCCATGATCGAAAGAAAAACATGGCGCCTCAATTTCACTCATATTTGTCCCAACCTTTGTTCGGGCTCACAGACTCCCTCAACCCGTCGAAACACCGTGTTGCATTTTAACAAAACCTCTCCTTCATGACAAGCACTCTAAATTCTGTCTTTTCATCGGACTATGGCCTCGAGTGGGGTTGTTAGGATATGAGAAGAACTTAGCTGGAGTCTTGATGTACGTGATGGTAGCGGCATCAGCTGTGAGCGCTGAGACGTCAGCATAGCATGAAAGGAGAGGGGATGAATCGATGACGGACATACATACCGCTGCTCCGTCACGACGCCGTTCCCTATACTCAAGAGACCATCCGCGAGCTCCGTGATCCGCACCGATCTGTCTACTTATCAATGCTGTTTTTAACAGCAGTCTGTGCCTTGGTTAAGTCAACCTTTGGCGTCATCGTCTGAGAACGTTGCACAATCCTTTCTTCCCACCATCATCACCACAGTGCATATTGCTAAGGGAAACTTGGTGTTTCGATGATGATGCATAAAAACTGTTTTGACCAGAGCACTGATTGTTTGCTCTACGGTTTTCTGCCCGCTGATAAGTCGAGCGCTGGAATAACACTGGGGGCACAAGCACACGAAAAGTGTTCCGGTACCGCAATGCATTAGGCTGTTAAGCGTGCAGATGCCCCAGGTGTACGGCTAGTGCGTTACAAACACACGTAGCTCATATGCGTTGATCTTTGCCCCCCACTGTGATTCCGGCTGCCAACATGCCCAGGTTCACTCCAGAAAACTCCCACGAAAACGCTGAGACAGAACGACGTACCGCTTTCCCCAAAGCTTTCTCTATATCATGTTCTATCCCAAAACGCCCATGGCTCGTCTGTGAACCCGCCCTCCACTATACACAACCCAATCTCCGCTAGTGCGCACCACGCACGACATTCGTCCGCCTGCGAGATATCCAATGATCCTCTTGCCGCTGTCGAGGAATTCTTTTTGCCGTCCCTAGCGGGATTCTGCAGTCCCAAACAGCGCCTCAAAGCAAGTAAAGACAAGTGAAGAGCTCTTTTATGTTCTACATTCGTTGGTGGGTGTACCAGCAGTGAAGGTAGCGCGAGAAGAAGCTGGGCACCATGTAGTTGATTCTCTGGAGCTTTACGGGGTGAGTCGTCGCTGGGGGGGTGTTGGAAATCTGAGGCTGTGACGCACCTCCTCGCAAACTTGCCGACCCTTACCGTACTGCTGCATAGCTCTTCCGTAGCCAGGTACAGCATATATTAGAACTTCAAATCAAATCAAAAAACTCACATTTACAGAACCTAGTAGAATTAGCTAGAATACCTACTGTAGTATAAATACCAGACTGAATCTACAGTGTGGGGCATCTGTTTGCCCAGAAAACGCTATTGACCCAACATCTCCGCTGTCACGTCTTACAGCCGTTTTGGAAACAATATACGGGTTTTGATCGAGTGGTGCTCATTCATTTGTGCTTACCTTTGTTTTGCTTCCCATCACCAGCTCCACTTCAGCCGAATCTGAGTTTTGCTTCCGCCTCCCAGAGAACACCAGGGAAAAACAGGGGGTTAACAGAACTGAGGATCAAGACTCAGCTGCTACTTGCCCAGAGCTCGACAGGGCCATGACTTGCGAGCAAGGGCCAAAACAAGGGACCAGCGGCACTTGATGTGGTGCGGCAACGCTCCACAAAGTGATGCTCCCGGCTTTGCCGATGACCGAATCGTCAACAAACGTAAGCACAAACGAACGAGCACCACTCAATCACACTGTGCCAACCAAGGGTCATGAAATTCATGATGTTTCTCGTCATGACTTTCCTGACGATTTGTCCGGAAATTCATGGTGATTTACCGGAAATTCATAACAAAACATCATGACTCGGAGTCGTGTTTTCATGATGATTATGGGGCTGTTCATGATGAATTTTCATGATGTTTCATTAATAAATTCAGGGCAAAACATGATGAAAAGGAGGCCAAGGCGGGGCAAATAAATTGGGTTACCGGCAGCCGGAATCGAACCCCGGACCGCCGCACTGCGGTGGCGCAGCGCAACACGGATGATTACTCTTAGACTAATGAAGACTTGAGGGACATGGGATTCCAATCCATACATGTCGCTAGTGTATCTGTTCTCAAGTTGTTGACTGAGCTATTGACTTGTTAACCAACGGATTTTCAATAGGCTGTAGTTGACAGACCTCCTAGCACCATGTATTGGTGTAACACTGGGATGAGCACACTGCACTCATCATCTGGTGGACTTAGCAAAAAAAAAAAATTGAGTACAGTCGAAGCTGTCATAACCCATAGCTCTCGTAACCCATAATCTGCCTTAACCCATACATTTTTCGGGAATTTTGACTGACTTTTGGCTGGGATAACCCATAAATCTGCCATATGCCATACCTTGTGGACCTAACCGAGGCCTATGGG